ACTAACATTTAATAATAACATTAAATAATAACAGTTGCTTCTGTAGGAATTAAAGTAGTTGGAAAACCTCCATATGAGCTCAAACAATAAGACGATGCTTCTGTTTCTAGTCATGGATACTCTGACTCTGGACCTAAACAAATTAGAATTGAGTGACCTCAGCTTGTGAATTTAGAAGGTGGTATTATAAAGAGATGAGAGGTGTACTTTGCCAATACCTTGATATTTCTCTTTTAGCTCCTAGCACCGTGAGACAGTCCATTTCCATTGTTGAAGCAACCCAGTCTTTGTTACAGCAGCCTTAGAAAAACAACACGGAAATGTAATTACCAAGCAAATTGTTTTAAGTTGATTGAATCATCAGGAAGCTAGGGATATCACACAGTACATAACCTTTTCAGTGCAACAGTGCACACCTCTTCAATGCTTAGTACAAACAAAAAGACATTCCTGGCCCAACCACATCCGAAGTTACGAGAGCCCCTGGCCTCTTGTGAAGTAAGGACTCCAATACCCAATGCTGACAGAAAGAGAACTCAACTTGGAAAGATGTTGCTCTTTTCTTTAATCCTGAAGGGAAGATTAATTGATTCTTTATTCCTTATTTACTTTAAAGGAATCCACAAAACCCCACTGCTACAATTATATGTATTCATGGTATCAATACAGATATTTACGTAGCACAAAAGTTCAGAGCTCTATAGAAGCCTTTTATATCCTTTAAAAATCTCTCCTTTCTAGTTTAGAATAATGAACTAGATGCCTTTAATCTAAGGCAAAATTATATGAATATTATCTTTTATATTAAACCAATGAAACTTAAGGAGTAGAGTTGCTATCTAGTGACTTGAAGACTATCAATGAACTGAAACTACCCATTTAAGATTAAATAGCTGGTTACATTTAAAAAAGAATTTCCTAATACTTAACTCTAACAACCCTTAAAAAATTACACTAATATCCTCCAGATAAGATTCAGATACTTGTTTTCTAGAAGCTGACTGAAATTGCATTGTATCCCATAACCGCACCCTTTGGTGAAGAGATACTTTCCCGTTTGTATTGTTTTTTTTCCCTGATCTTCTGCAAAAATCTGTGCTTCTCACTAATGAAGTAAAATTCCAAAGCAATTGAACATTACATTTTAAAGGGAAAATGGATATATAGAAATTCCTGGAAAAAGTTCAGATTATACAAAAGAAGAAAAGAGATGCCAGAATAAATTCTTAGCATTCGTGCAGTATCTTGCACACAGTGGGCATGGTCTATTTTTCTTTATCTTTCATTATGAAAGTTTATATAAAAGAAGAGTGTTTTATTTCAAACCAAATAAGTTGGATGAGGGCAAAGGGCTTTTTTCTTTAAAAATACCTCACATTTATTTAGTATTTGACACATCCTTTCAAATGTACTATATCATTGGTTTTGCAACAAACCTATGAACTAAGTATGAGTTGGCCAAATCTATGGAAAAAAGAAACAAACTCAAAGAGATTTTATAGTTGGTAGGCTCACCTAGCTAGGAAATGGCAAAGTTAGACTTCAGCTCAGGTTTCGAACTCCACATCCTGTGCCTTTCACTTTCCTTCCAGGCCATACGGAAGCCTATCTCTCACACCACATCTTTCAGGGTAGTTTGTCAACTGGGTTTATGTTACAATAAAATATAACTTTCCTGCATGATTCCTTGATCTTGAACTGTTGTAGCTGATCAAGGCCTATTTATTGCCAGAGTATAAATGGAGGCAAATAATACACTTTGATCTCATTACACATGATCTGTTTTCAAGCTTCAGTTCCTGCAGTATACACTTGCTAAATATCATTGAATATTAAAGTGGCAGGAAAACATTTTACTTCATTTTTTTTTCTCAGCTAGAATAGCCAAGAAGAAGCAACTGAATTACAGTTGAATTTATAGGAAGAAATGTTATCACCAGGAAATTATTGGATTTGATGTTATCATTTCTGTAATTACAAAAGAAATATCCATTCCACTGAAAGTTACCACAATATGGGAGTAATTGCTATGCTATTACAGAATAGTGGTATGATATGGTTATTCTTTTCATACAAACTATAAATTATGTACTAAACATAATATAATTTATAATAAAAAACTTAACATGACTTAAAGTAGCTACCAAATCCAAGTGGAGCTCTGTGGTCGTTGCAAAGTAATTACATAATTATTTAAGCCTCACAAACTTAGAAATTACAAAGTACTTATGAAACACATTACCACAAGAAGCTAAATGGAACTTAAAATAGTTACTAACCCAATTTGGGTAATGTTTTTTGTTGCACTAAATGGCAATCCCATTATTATCTTTTTTTGAGATAGCATCTAAGGTATGTTAACAAATGCTTCTCATTTGTCTTTATTCATACAATCCTAGACTCTCAATGTTAGAAGAAAACACTTAAACCAAGTTCTCTACCCAAACTGTGGGCCTGTTCTGCAGCATTCAAGACAACTAGCTACTGGGCTTCTTGACTCAAGGCAGTCTGGAACTCCATAAATTAATAAGTGAAGTCAGTTAGTTGTTTAGGAGTCTTTGGTTGTGTGTGACAGGTGACCAACTCACATTTGCTTAAGGGAAAGAAGAAATTTACAAGTTCGGGTACTTGAAAAGCCCAAGGTTACTGACTTGGAGACTGCTTTTATCTAGGTGTTCATGTTCTAAGTGTTCAATCTTTTTTTCAGTATCTACTTGCATTTCTTTGTTGGGTCTGTTCTCAGATAGACTGTCCCTTTTTCTTTTTAGTGGCAAGGTGTCTGTCAGAAGATTCATGTAGAACCTACAGACTCAGTAATTCCAGTAGAGAGAGTTTCTCCTTCCCAGTAGTTCCAGGAAAGACCTGGAACATTCTGATTGGGATGTTTAGTATCACATGACCTTCCCTGAATCAATCACTATACACAGGTGTTCATGGGTCACATGAACATGCCTAGAACCAGAAGGGTAGAGATTTTCCCAGAGGAATACTGTGACACTGTTAATGAAAGAAGAAAGAATGAATGCTGAGCAGAGGAACACAACAGATGTCCATGACAGGCAAGATTTATTACTCTTCCTCTAATAGAGATATTTCTCTTCTTTCTCTTTTATAGTGGAGGACCTCTGGGAGATGAATTCTGGTGAAAATAAAATGGATCCGGTCAACAAATTGGCCCCGGCTGGAAGCTGACATCCGTACTGTTGGCATTTACCACGAGCACACCAGAAGGGTAATTACAAGTTTACAGAAGCTCTTCTTTTATTTTTTTCGTCCAAAATGCAGTTATTCTGGACACAATGTTCTTTAGCCTCAATCCACAGAGCATTGCTTCACCAGAACTAATCTTTCAAAAGTACTAAAAATTTTCTTCTGTCTTCTTTTTAAATAGTAGCCACACATGACTCAGGATCCCTGCAGGCAACATTCATTGTCTGCAGATCACTCTGGTGAACCACAAAGCGCTGCTACACATGCTGATGATCGTAGAATCACAGGGTAGAGGGAGAGGAACATCTTATACTTCTAGGGATGAAAGAGTAAATTGTGTACAGTTGCTAGAGAAGCTGGTCACTCTAGTTCTCAGGTGTAGTGGGCATCTGTTATTCCTTCTGGCTGCCAAGCGTCTAAACTTCTTTCTCAATGGACAGTTGTCCACCTTATGGGTTTTGGTGTGAGGCACCAATATCTGTCATCACTGAAGCCAAAAATGCCCAAAGCTCACTTTCCCAATCCCTCTTGTAGCTAGTGTGTGGGCATGAGACCCAGGCACCATCAATCAAATGCCTCTACTCTGGTCTTTGACTAGGGAACCACGAATGCAAGTAAGGAAGCATTGAGACAGAGCTCCTTTGGCAGTGGAGACCATTGCTCTGAGATCAAGTTCTCGGAGCAAGAGAGCAGCAGGTCCAGCAGCTATGTTCATAGTCTGAGATCATTTGTGTCCACAGCTCAAGTGCCTGTTTAGGGCTCAGCAGCAGTATTTCCAGGGTCATCCTCCCTGGACCCATTTTGCAGTACAACTTTGGTATTGTTCCTGACTGCGGCGCCTCTGAGCCTGGATCTCCAGCCCTCCTAGAGTTTCTGTGAGCTCCTCATTATCAATTTTTTATCTGAAATAAGCCAGCATCAGTATCTGTTGCTTGCATCCCCAAATCAAGGCAGTCCAGAAAGGCTTTCCAGCATAGTGGTTAAGGGAATTGGCTGCAGTCTTATCTCTCAGCAAACTCTTTGATTTTGCTTAAGATACATAACTGTTTTCATTCATAGTCACCTTTGTGAAATGGAGAGAATGATATCTACTTCCTGAGATTTGTTGCAAAGCAAAGCACTCAGCATATCTCCAGACATAGTGAAGTCTTAACATGAGCTTTTAAAATTATGAGAGAATTCTCAGTGCAGTGGCATGACTTCTGAGTTACAAGAAGCATTTACTATCATAGAATGATGAAGTGAGAGATTTATATTTAAAAACTAAAGTTCTGTCATAAAGAACATTTAAGTATTTTTAAAATTTTGTATTTTTCTAATCTGTTTAAATAAGTTTATTAACAGTGGTGGCCTTAATAAAGGGTGGGCGAAAGCTGAGCTTGGTGAAAATGACTTTTAGATGTTTCTAAGGTATCTTCCTGTGGGGATGAGTGCCCCCCACTGGGTTAGCTGACAGTTTTGATCACTATAAAAAGTGTAAAAATACCTGTTGTGTACTTTAGTATGAATGATGGATCTGCTCAGATGTTGGTGTAAAGTATGGAACAGAAGGGAATGCCTTGTGAATCCTGAGAAGGAGTGGGGGCCTCACAACTGAATTAGAAGGGAAATTATGTGAGAAGTGCTGGGCCGCCTTCCATGGGAAGAGTATATTTTCCGTCCTACCTTCACTCTCCTAAAATTGGTGATTGACTCCTGTTTTGCTATGGAATTTTCCTGAGGAACCAAAAACGTATGTGCTTATTTTCATTTAAGACTATAATTAAGGCAGAAAATGCTCCCCCAACTCTTACAGGCACACCCCCCCGAATACTCACACAATTGTACCAGAAATTGGGGGTGACCACAGCCACATTAGAAGGGTTAAGAAAGAAGAGGGAGAAACAAAGCCCATGTTACTAAGTTAATAACCAGAAGAACATCTAAATAGGGGCAGTTCCCTTGCAATACCACACACTATTTCTTAAACAGAGCGATTCTGTGGTTTGTAATCAAGTGTCTGAATTCCGAATTTATAGGCCCCAGGATGGTAAGTGTGGTTATATGGTATTTAGCAATTTTGTGTGGTGTTGTGCTAAATATGGAAAAGTCAGAGAAGTATTTCAGTGCTTTCCCTTTGAGTCTACTCTGAAAGTTGGGTTTAGTGATGGCTAAAAAAACCCAATCAGCCCGGCAAGGGGCAATCAGGTTTATCTATTTTGGAACTTTAACTTCATGTGAGGAATATCTTTTTTAACTATTTTTAAATTGACTTCTTCCTTTTTTTTGCTCATGAAATTGCAGTCATTTCTTGAAATCTTGAAATACCTAATACATGGAGAAGAATTTTTGTTCCTTATACCAAAAATGATGTCCTAATATTTACAATCTGATCAAGGGTCAGAGATGAGGTCTCCTTACCACACCTGGGGGTTTTAAGCACAGGATAAAGGCTCACTAGCCAGAGCTTTGGGCTCTAAAAGCATTTCTCAAAGTGGTTGGGGGTCAGAACTTGCACTGGAAAGAACTTAGAGTCTGGGGTTCAAAGGTTTGCTCTGCCACTCTCTTGATATGGAATTTGGGAAACAATGCAGTGACCTGTAGCAGCTTTCTAAACCTAATGTTTCTCAAGGGTGGGACTGTAGACTTGATATAAAATTAACATGTTCACGCTTTCTGTGCCAAACCCCACTCTTTCGGGATCTGTGGTGGTTTAGAAATTGCAAAATTAATGATATTTTAAATTATCTTTTAACTCAGTTAAAAACTCACACAAGGCGTTTGGTCTCAAATCATATTAACGTACTCCAGTCTTCCACCATTTTTACCATGCTTGGTTCCAAGAGTCTTTTGACTATGTTTAAAACTCAAATTCATCATGAAGTAAAAAGATCCATTACTATTGAGTATATTAAATGAACGTACCTTAGGTTCTAAAAGCATTTCCAAATAAATGTTTTGAGTCGACATGATAGAATAAGGACATGAGCTTTAGTCTCTAATTGAGTTTTGACATCAGCTGACCAAGCTGATGCCCTTTTGGGGCAAGCTACTTAGTTTTCTCATCTATAAAATAAAGATGACAATGCTTACCTCCTACGAATGCTTTAAGATCAGGGATTATAAACCAAGTTCATAGCAGGATCCAGCACATGGTAGGCATTCCATAACTATAACAAAACAGAAAAGTTAATATGATTTTCCTACATGTGCAGTTGCCTAAGGTAACTACTTGAAGGAAAAATTACTTGTTTACGTGTATAAGTTGTGGTCAGTGTTTTAAAGATTCAGTTTGATTTCACTATGGTTAAATTGAGTGTGAACTATTGAGATTCTATAGAGACTTCTTAGATGGCTGTTTCCTAAGAAAACCCTCCCTTTTGAGTTCAGGTATTCAATCGCTGATTCAACAATGCCCTTAAACATCTTCATCACTGCAGTTTATTCGAAATGTCACCAGATAGTGAACTTCAGAGTTCAGAGTGTTGCTATGTTGGCCTGCCCTTTCCTCTCCTAGCCAGAATCCCCAAGAACAACTGAAAAGCTAGACAGATATTCTTATCATAGAGATACAAACCACCATAATGTAAAATGGTGTTAAAGCCATGCTTGTGATGTGATGGTGGCAACTAGCCTTTCCCTTCCTGCAAAGTTCCTGGCCTTGCCCCAGTTTGTCACTATCCTGAGGATGGTGGAAAGATTGGAAGTTCTTCCCCTGGACATTTCCTTGCTTCTGAGGCTGCTTTCTCCCCTGTGTCCTGTGTCCTTGATTCCAGACGACACTGAGGAGCTGCTGCCTGCCCCCAGCCCTGTGCCTGTCCTTCTTTCCTGGATTCCAGACAGGGCTCACTAATTCCTGGGGGGAAGTGTCTTTATACCATCATCCTCATGATCAGCATGTTCCTTTGCTGGTCAGACAGTCAGTCCTGGTCTCCTATGTGCTCACTCCTCTCGGGTTCTGCCCATTGCCCCTCCCCATGGTGCTCACCGAAGTCAAGCTATCCATTGGTTGAATATCTGCCATATTCCATGACATAACTTTCTAAGCAATGTGAGTGAGGCAAGTGCAAAAGTTTTGAAAAGTGAAAAAGGTGAGAAAATAATCAATTTGACCTGGAGAGACCTAGGCAGACTTCACAGGGAAGCTGGGACTTGAAGATGAATAAGAACAGGGCAAAGAGAGGAGGGAATGAAATTTCAGGCAGAAGGAATGAAAGAACTGAAAACATAAGAATCCACGGGGTCAGAAAAGAATGTTCATTCTGAGTGGTGTGTTGAATACGTGGTGAAGAATAGCTGGAGATGAGACTGGGAAGGGAAGTTGGGGTCAAACCAGAAGGGGCTACATAGGCCAGTCTATGTAGTTCACATCGACACTGTGGGCAACAGGAAGTC